GCAGACTTTGAGTCATTCCTAAACATTCTTAAAATGCAAGGTGTTTGCAGAAGGGAAAGGTCACTGTGGGCTGGCTGGGTTCAGGGCTTTGCAGAGGAGTCAGAACAATGAGGGAACAAAGGGGGCCAGAGTGGGTGCCATGGATGTGTCTACACCTTGGCCGTGACTTGGCCACAGTCATAAATAATCCACACACATACACACGCGTGCACACACACACACCGTGATCTATGGAAACGAAACAGGTTTTATGCACTAGCATTTACCTGTCCCTGTGAGGGACGGCTGTAATATTTTCTATTTCTTTTTAAGAGAGCACTAGTTGCCATCCACTTCATCGATTTCCTAGACCACCAGTGCATCTCAGCCCACAGTGAGGAGCTCAGCTGTGGACAGGGTCCATTGGAGGAGCATTTCTAGGAGACAGTGGCAGCCCCTGATTCAGGCCACCTGGGTAGGGCCAAGATGGTGGTGGATGTCAAAACCAACCAGACAAAGACAGCGGATGCAAGACATCCTGTCTGTGAAATAAATTTGTCCTCCTGTTGCGTTTGCATATATCTACAAAGAGGTTCCTCGGCCTGCAAGTATGCAGGGTCACATTCCCCAAAGTGGATTTTTCCCCTTTGTACAGAGGTTAGTTCTAGAAATGCCCTCAGCCTTCCCTGGAAACCCAGAGGAGTTGGGATGTGGATGGGCAGGGGACAGCCGGGGACTTTGAACAAGGCAGTGAGGCAGAAAACCTTTCTTCCATTGGGCAGGACACGGAAAGGTGTGTGTGCAGAAAGATCCAAGAAGATGTTTTTTAGATGCAACTTCTATGTTGGATACACGAATTGATTTGTCAGCTACTAGCTAACCATATTCTCTTGGCTCATTGTAAGCAGACTGGGTTTTTTTTTCTTACTAAATGTACTTTTAATTATTTAGGAAAATAAAAAGCACAAATTTACAGAGGTAAAACAGCTAGTGCCAGCCTATGTTGCAATTTTAAAACTTCATATACCATAAAATCCACATAAATGGTACAATCCCTTATAAATGGTACAATTCAGTGTTCTTTTGTTCACAGAGTTGTGCGATTGTGATGAATATATAATTCCAAAACATTTTCATTATCCCGGAAAGAAACCCCATTCCCACCAGCACTGATTCCACATTTCCTTCATCTTCCCCTTTTCTGGCTGCCACTAATCTACTTTCTGTCTGCATGGATTTGCTTGTTCTGAACATTTTTGTGCAAACAGAATCAGTTTTTTCAAAGAATGAAATTTTACTTTTGTTGATACTCTACATTGTTTTTTCCTATTTCATTTATTTCTACCATGATCTTTCCTTCTTTCTGCTTTTTTTTAAAACTTAATTTGCATTCTTTTTCTTTTCTAAAAGAAGAAGGTTAGGTCATTGATTTCAAATCTTTCCCTTTTGTAATACAGGCATGTACAGTTACACATTTCTCTGTAAGCCCTCTTTTCTCTGCATCCCATATGTTTGGGAAGGTTCCATTTTTGTTTTCATTCATCTCCAAGTATTTTCTAATTTCCCTGGTGATTTCTTCTTTGACCCATGAGTTATTTAGAACTCTGTTATTTAACTTCCACATATTTGTGATGCTTCCAGTTTTCCTTCTGTTGTTGATTGCTAATTTCATTCCACTGAGGTTAGATAACATACTTTGCATAATGTCAGTCCTTTTAAATGTACCAAGTCTTGTTTTATGGCCTAACATATGGTCTGTCCTGGAGTATGTTCTGTATGCACGTGAGAAGATTGTATACTGCTTCTCTGTATTATAGTTATGTCGTTCTTTTCCTCTCCTCTTGTAACCCCATTGCATATTTGATCTGTGGAGAGTACCCTCAGCTCTCTGAAGTCCTGATTACTTTTCTTCATTCTTTTTATCTTTCTGTTCCTTAAACTGGAGTGTTTAAATTGACCTATTTTCAAGGTTGTCAATTTTTTTTCTGCTGCCTGTTCAAATCTGCTATAGAACCCCTGTCATGAATTTTCTATTTTAGTTATTATACTTCTTAATTCCAGAATTTCTGCTTGTTTTTTTAAATCACTTTTATTTCTATTTCTATTGATTTTTGGTGAAGTATGGTTCTCATACTTTTGTGTTTGAGTCGCTAAAAACTCCTTTGAACATATGTTTAAACAGCTGATTTAAACCCTGTCTAATAAACACTACATCTAGTCTTCCTCAGTAGGAGTTTATTGACTGTGTATGGGCAATACTTATTTTGCATGTCTCATAATTTTGTTAATGTTACTGAAAGCTGAGCAGTTTAAACAATGTAATGTGACAGTTACAGAATTCATATTTCCCCCCTTACTAGGGTCTTTTTTTTATTATTGTTGTTATTTGTTTTATTTAGTTACTAACTGGAAAATCTGTACTCTGGTGTATGCAGTCACTGAAATCTCCACTAGGTTACCCTAGAGTCAGCTACAGGTTTCTTTTTGGTACTAGGGATTGAACCCAGGCCTGAGCTATATCCTCAACCTGTTTGTTTGTTTCTTTGTTTGTTTTCTTTGAGACAGGCCCTCTCTGAGCTACTAAATTGCCCAGGCTGGGCCTGAACTTGCCATTCTCCTGCCTTAATCTCCCAGAGTGCTGGGATTACAGGCCTGTGCTGCCACACCCAGCTCAGCTGATGACTGAAAAGAGATTTCTTCAGATGCCTGGATCTAGTCATTCTCCCAGTCTTTACTAAGAGGCTCTGTGTTTGGGGTTGCACCTTCAACTCAGTGCAGACAATTTGCAGCTCTTTATCAGGCTTCCCCTTTGTCTAGTGCAGAGCCTCTCGGCCACCACTGACACAGCCCTGACCAGGCAACAGGGTCTCTAGATTCCCAGGAGCAGGAGGGACCTTTGCAAAGGCCCTGCCAGCCGGAACTTTGTTCCACAGCTTTTCCTTCTTGTATTTCTGGTTAGCCTACCATTTGTCCCAACTGTGATCTTCCACATCAGGCAGCATAATTTAATCATTGCCTCCGATTGCTTTCCACAAACACCCCACCCCTAGGAAAAGACTCTTCACACTGGTGAGCTCCAGGTCAGGCAGAATCCATCTTGAGAATGGAAGTGGGGACTTCCAGGCTGAGTAACAGTCATTCTGTGGAAACAGGCATCCAACATGCTTTGCAAACGTAGGGCTCATAGAGCCTTTTTAATTTTTATTTTTATTAGTACATGTTTGCAGTACATAATGATTACATTCTTCAGGGGGAGTTTGTACATATACATAATACGGCTTAATTCTTTTTATGTCCCCTTCCCCTCCTCTCCTTCCTCCTCCCTCCACCCCTTAGTCCTCTTCCCATTTATGAAAGATCTATCTCCATTTCTTGTTATCTATCTTTTATTCTGCTCTTTAGTTTACTTATACTTTGGGTTTCTCATATGAGAGGAACCATGAAATAGTTAAGCTTGTGTGTCTGATATTTTTCACTTAACGTTATGATCTCAAGGTACATCCATTTTCCTACAAATAACTCAAATGTGCTTTATTTATAGCACAGTAGTACTCCTTTGTATATAATTACCACATTTTCTTTATCCATTAATCTGTTGATAAACATATAGACTGCTTCCAAGATTTAGCTATTCTGAGTTGTGCTGCTATAAACATGGGTGTATGCATGTATCACCATAATACAATGTCTTTAATTCTTTCAAGAAGATAGCTAGAAGGGAATAGCTGGGTCAAATGGAATTTCTATTCGTTTTTTGAGAAATCTCCATACCGATTTCCACAGTGGTTGTTCCAGTTTACATTCCCACCAACAGTGTCACATAGACAACCTGTAGAGGCTCTTTATCAGCCGTATGCACAGAAGGTTTGGAAACATGAACCAGAACTGACTCGCCCCTGTCTGCTTCCTCTGGTGGCTTCCAGGCTACCTTTTTCCCTGGCACGGCAGTTCTTGGTTTTCAAGGCTATTCCTAAGCAGGTGGGAGGGAAGGGAAAATGAGAAGTTAAGATGCGTAGAGCTCCCTGGTCTTACTGAGATCCAGCTGATTTTCTTAAATAGACTTCTCAGATTGCCATAGCCTGTGGTTAATTTCTAGAATTCTGAAAAAGGAGATTGTGGCCATTTTTGTCACTGTCCCCATTGCTTTTACACCAAAGAGAATTGTCCATTCTCACCAACATCACCAGCATCCTGGTCCTGAGTCCATCCATACACACACATACTCTGTGCTTACTAAGGACGCCACACTTGCATCCGGTGGCTTAATGAGGCCCCTTTTCCTTGTGTGGATTTCCTTGGTAGGGTCCAGTGAGATGGCGACCACCAGCCAGGACACCACACTTTAGTCTTGAATTTGCTGCAGAGTGACTGTATGACCTTGGAGCAAAGGAGCTGAGCTTAGCTGAGCTACTGTGTACCAGGCTGAGTGCTGAGTGCTTTATGTATACTGTATCTTCCTTGCACCTACAGAGATAATACCCCTGTTTCACAGATGAAGAAACTGGTACAATGTGACATTGAAAGAGATAATGTCTCCATTTTACAGATGAAGAAACTAACAAGATACAGTGTACTCAGCACTGTCCTGCATGTGGCAAATATTCTGTATGTCTTTGTTCTGTTGCTCTTCCATTAGTGTAAACTTTATAGACAGAGGAAGAAGTACAGTGGGGGTGATTGCTCAAGGTCACTTGAATTGCAGCCCAAGTTCATCTGATTCCAAAGCCCACCCATTGTCCACATCCCCACTGCAGTTCCCCTGCTCTAGGTCTTACCTTCCTTATACTGCCAGATGAAGGATTTGAACCGATGAAAGTCATCCAGTCAACAAACACAGACTCAGTTGTCTGCTTCCATAGAGGTGACATAGAGGTCTGTAATTCTGTGTTGTCAGTTGCTTGGAGTCACATCGGTGACATTCTTTTGTTCAGCCTGACAGACGAACCAGTGGCAGACCAGCAGATGTGTAACCCAGTGTCTTTCTCTCCCCTGCCACCCTGCTCCTCCCCTGTCCCCTGCAGAGGCCAGAGGGGACAAGGCCAAGTGGGTGTTCACCTGGCCACTCATCTTCCTCCTGTGCATCACCATCCCCAACTGCAGTAAGCCCCGCTGGGAGAAGTTCTTCATGGTCACCTTCATCACTGCCACACTGTGGATCGCCATCTTCTCCTACTTCATGGTGTGGCTGGTGAGTGAGGAGTGGCGGGTGAAGGAGGACCTGGGCTCAAGGCACCGTGGGAAATTCTGGGCCACCTTGGGCAAGTCGCTGGCCTGACTGACTGCAGTTTCTTTCTCTGGGGAAAGGGTTCTCATGAGGATGCATGGCGCCATGCTGTGTGCACTTCTATAAATGCCTTTTTATCATCACAGTAATCTCATGAGATAAGTATTTTATTGCCCCCATTTTACAGATAGGGAAAGCAATGTGTTCAAAGTTACCCCACTAGCGAGTGCTAGAGGTGGGATGGGGTGCAGGCATTGGCCTCCTGTCCACCATCTCAGCCACTGTCCTGAGCTGGTTGTCACTTGGGTGTTGGAATCCTCAGATCCCACTGGGCAGAGGTTTTGCAGGTGGAGAGGTGTTGGTGAGGCTTCTTGTAAGCTCCTCTGGCCATGCCTGCCAGCTCCTGTTCAGACCTTTTACTGGCTGGGCCAAGCTGGACCGGGCCATGCAAGTCCCCTCTCCCCTGTGCCTGTGATCCACCCCCAGGGCCCCTCCTCCTCCTCATCTTGAGTGAGGAGGAAGAGGGGACACGGTTACAGCATAGCTGTGGGTCAGGTGAGTGTGAAGGAGACCCCACCAGCCTTCCCTGCCTCCGTGGCTGTCCTTGAGCCACTCCATTCTCCTCCTTACATCTGACCCAGTGCTGAGATGGCTCGAGTTCCTGACTTGAGAAGCAGCCAGGCCAGGGAATTCCCTAGAGGCACTCAGCCCCATCCCTAGCTCCAGAGAAAGCGTGCAGTGTTGTGGGGACAGAAGGGCCCTGGGGGTCACATGAGGACAGATCTGAGCCCTGCTTCTACCTCTGAGCAGCCGTGAAACCCAAGCAACCAACTGCCTGCGCCAGGGTGAGCCCCTCTCTGAAGCAGGGTGATCACTGACCTCCCAAGGCCACTGGAGAAGGGAAGGGGAGCCTCCAACATGGCAGGTGCATGGCGAGGCCTAGTGCTGTGCCCAACCAGCTTCAATACACCTTCCCCATTTCCTCCATGAGTGCAGTGTGTGTGTAAGTGTGGGTGGTGTGAGTGTGTATGGAGCCATTTTGCCAGTATCGGGGAAGAACTGAAAATAGTTACTATCCAAGCTCCCCAGCAAAAGATGATACAGATAATAAAAAGCACACCCTAAATGCATTGAATTTGCCCACCTTAGTTCTTCTGAACAGAGGCCAGCCCATCTTTACATTTTAAGGAAACTATCCCATTGTTCTTAGTAATGTGTGTTCCCAAATAACAGCAAAAAGAAAAGGTATTTCATGACATTTGTGTAGATATGAGAATTAGGAAGATCAATTAAGGAATGTGTGAATTCTTTCTTCTCTAATTATTGAAAATAACAGTAGTGTTAAATCAATTCTAATTAGCAGTGAGGTGGGACACTCCCATGCACACTGCTTTGACTTACAAATCCCATCAGGCCTGGAGTCATAGGAACCACTTACTGGGGCACTCTGACCCGTGGATTTGAACTTCAAATGGCCTCAGTTGGGGGACTAGCATAGACTTGACAATAGAAATCTGTAAACAAGCTGGGCATGGTGTCACACACTTGTAACCCCAGCACTTAGAATTAAAAACTTGTCAACCACCCCTGGTTGGCTTGTGCAAATCCCTTTTGTGAACAGTGTGGACCAAGCACTGCTGGATCCATTGTTGTTCTTTGCCTTCAGAGTGTCTCCCCCCTTTTCTGGCCCAGGGAAATCTCATCAGTGAGCTCAGACTGCTGTTGCTGAGCTAAGCAGTGTCTTAGATCTTCATGGATGTCATCAGACCCCTCTGCAAACTTCCTGCTAATAGACAAGTATCTAGTCATACATGCTGGCTGCAAGCCAGGGCTGAACTTTGCACCTAGGAAGTGTAGTTCATCTGGGACTCCCTGAGCCCTGTGAAGTTGATTGCCCTTATTTTATTTGCCCCCATCGATTGCAAGCAAATGAATGCAATAGAAGGGAAATACACTGCTGTGAATATCTGGCACAGCCAGGCCAGGTACCTTACATTTTCTTATCTCATCCTTGTTAGGCCCATTTTACAGATAAAGGAGCTCAGAGAAGCAGGCTCGCTTATCCAAAGTCACATAGCCATTTGCTGGGATCTGAGCGATCGGCCAAGATGAGAGCAGCTCTAAACCATTCCCCATCTCTAGATGAAGAGAGAAGAGGGGTGCTGTGAACTGGAAGGGCCAAATGCTTCCAGAGCTTTCCATCTGGCTGCTGCTCAGGTCCCAACTATCTCTCCAGTGTCAGCCATGTACATGCATCATGATCTTAAAATGCCTCTGTATCCTTTGATCCTGGAGTTCTATCTTTTGGGATTTATCCCAAGGATGTAGTAGGATGAAAGGCCAAAGTTGTATGCACAATGGAGAGGCTGGAACTCCCGAAGTAGGATCGGAAACATTGCCAGGAATCCCTGCTCCATTGCTTCCCAGCTGTGTGCCCGTGGGCATTGTTACTAAGCTCTTGGAGCCTCAGTTGGCATAATTAAGGTGCCTCCTCCATAAGTGGGTAGTGAATAATCAAGTACATGAGATTATGAGAGCAAGACTTTGTAGAATGCCTGGCACACAGTAAGTGCTCAACAAATGTTCTTACAGCGATACTGTAAGAATAAAGAAACCGTCTAAAATACACAAGAATGTAGGATTGGTGAAACCTTTATAGAAATACAATGAAATGTAATTATCAGTTTAAAATATGTTATAGATGAAGATTCTGGATGGAGTGGGACTCACGATGTATAATTACAAAACAGATACTGATGGTATAAACTAATGGCATTTTTTTCTAACACATACCAAAAGCAAGGTCAAGCATACAGTCCAAAACAGTGATTTGCAAATGAGTTTCCAGACCCACAGCGTCAGGGTGCCACTTCCCAGGAACTTAACAGGAATGCAAGCGTTCACGCCTCACCCTGGAAATCTGGGGGCACAGCTTGGCAGTCTGCATTTTAACAAGTCTCCCCTGAGACTTTCTGTATTCTCAAATTTGAGAACCACTGGCCAATGTGAAGTGTTTTTTCTTCTCCGTGGGTCTTGAGAAATGGTCATTTTTATTTTCATTTTATTTTATAAATATTTTCAAATAATAAACACATGTTACTCATGTCACCGGGGGGGGGGGCACAAAAAAATGTTTTAAAAACCATATTCCAGATTTTTCTCTTGGTTACCACATTCAAGTTAAAAGCTCACAGGGTACAGGAAGCTCCCAGGGGTGTTCCATTGTGAGTTCACTGGCCCGCCCCCCTCTCCTGCAGGTGACTATCATTGGATACACACTCGGGATCCCCGATGTCATCATGGGCATCACTTTCCTGGCAGCGGGCACCAGTGTTCCAGACTGCATGGCCAGCTTGATTGTGGCAAGACAAGGTAGGGACCGTGCCTCAGCCTCCACAGCCATCAGCATCAGCCTGCTGACCCCTCATCTTCCCCACCAGCTTGGTGGCTGGGTTGTGGCTCCTCTGGTTGGCAGTTGCCAAGTCTGCCATGAGGGAGATCATGACATCTAAAAGCATCGTGTGTTAGAGTCCATCTGTGGAGAAAACACTACTGAGACGAGATGAACTTCTCCAGATCTTTGGAAGCCTTTTCTCAGATGGTTGTCTAAAAATGAACACATCCTGAGATCACCAGTCAGTGTGAGATTGAACAGAGCCCAACCCCAGACTTCAAGTAGCAAATGATCTGAGACATGTCCCAGACTCAGGAAAGCAGAAAGAGTCTCCTATAAATCCAACTATTCTCCCATTCTTCTTATGACTTCTAGAAGATCTGTAATCTTTTGCTTTATTTAGAGGTTGAGCAGGATGAGTGGGAATTTACAGTCTTTGAAGGTAGAACAAAAGCCATGAAGAACCTGGCCATGACATGCTACTCCTTTTCTGCCAGTGAGGTAGTTTCATGGCAGGCTTTGCCGCAGATCTTCTGGGAAGAGGAGCATCTGAAAGTCTGGGTGTGGGGAAGGGCAAGTCATGGGCGGAGACAGGAGAGGAGAGCAGCAAAGGGAGACAGACTGGCTGGGGCCTGAGAAAGAGCTGAGGGGAAGGGAAGTGTGTGGAGATGTCGGGCCCTGGGCAGGTGCCTTACAGAGAGTGGGGACAGCGCTGAAAAGAGTGGAATTTAACTGGGTAACCTTGGACAAGAGTGTATTAATTTCCTAGAGCAACCATGACCACTAGATGGCTTAAAGCAACAAAAATTTACCTCTCAGCTCTGTGGAGGCAAGATACGGACAAAGCCTCCCCCTGCAGGGTGAGGGGAGGAGCTCCTGGCCTCTTCCAGCTCCTGTGACTGACTGCCATTCCAGTCGCTGCCTGTCATCCCATGTCATCTGTTCCTCCCCTGCTGTGTGTCTCTGTCAAGACTTCCTTCTTCTTATGGGGACACCAGTTGCAGGATTGAAACCCACCCTAATTCGGAGTGACTTTATCATAATGTGTTGATATCGGCGAAGACCCTGTTTCCAAATAAAGTCAGGGCCACTGGTTCTTGGCGGACATGAATTGGGGGATTTCTCGTCGCAGTACAGTGAGTGAAAGGAAAGCTGATGCACACTGAGGCTCTGGCTGATGTTCAGCAGTGTGAACTCAGCAGCTTGGGATCAGTCATGCCAGCTCCAGCTGACAAGTTCATCCCCAACTGGAGGGACACAGTGGCAGGCCAGGAGGGTAAGAAAATGTGCAGTTTAAACAGCTAGTGAGGGGGAAGGTCGAGATGCAAGAAGCTTAAAGGCTTCAGGGGTCCCAGTGAGATCAGTGAAATCTCTTTTAGGAACAAGGGACAGGTAGGGTTCTGAGGCAGGATGCCATCTTAAAGTGGCCACAGGGGGTTGTGAGTATATGGAGATGGAGGAAGCATGACTGAGGCTGGGAGAGGGGTGGTATAGTGGTCATAAGGGTGGCACTGATGTGGCTAATAAGAGAGTCCAACGGACACGGTTAAGATTAGACAGCTTCCTTATGACAGAGAGCACAGAAACTTTGCTCAGAAACCACTGCACAAAGCAGGAGACCACGCAGGAGCTCTGAGGAGGTTCTATGCCCCAGACTCCCTGCCAACTCTCAGTTCAAAATGTGGCCCAGGCAGCACCGACCTGACCTCATGTGAGAAATGGACTCTCAGGCCCTATTCTGGCTGCACTGAATCAGCATCTTCAGATTAACTGGATCCCTGGGTGATTTGCACACTCACTGAAGTTTGAGTCACTGCCCTAAGAGTCCTCAAAGGACCACACAGCTGCCATGGCTTCTTGTGCAGTACAAGGATTCCATCAGCCTGAAAAGTTTATCTCCTTTTGTCCGTGGTCAACCATCTTTACCCCTTCACCCTGACCTCCTCTCCAAGTACAAATAGCTGCTCCGTAGTTGCCATGTTTTGCCAGACTGGAGCCCGGAAGGGACCAAGCTGCAGAGTGTGAAGTTGCTCCACAGAGCGCCTGAGGCAGGCAGGGAGGAGGGAGTCAGCCCACCTGAAAGATGTACATGCTGGGGTCAGCAGACACCAGCAACGAGGACAGGATGAGAGGAGGAGGTGGCCTGGCACACAGGGAGGACAGATGCAGACAGAGATGGGCCATTCATCTCCAAAGCTGGCTGGAGTGGTGCTGAGCTTTGCAGCTACTGAGGCGATGTGATGGGTGTGTGCACGTTTGTGTTTCAGGCCTGTCATCCAGCAAACACTTGTGTGTGTGCAGCTGAAGACAGGCATTTCAAGTAGCACAGATTTCAGCTCTCATGAGATTTATGTGTATGGGTTTGCTCTCTACTTTCTAATACACCTCAAGTGATCGAGCTCTTCCACCTGTGTGGCTAGCCTGATGCTGAATGGTTGGGCAGGAAAGGGAAGGATGCTGCATGGCTCCAGCCTCTGAGATGGTCTGGCAGGAGAAAGATAGTTTACCCTTCAGAAACTACCAGAATATAAGATCTGCTGCCCTATTATCACAGCGAAGCTCATGGGTGCTGTTGCCTGGCCACAAATATGCGTCATGGCTGGGTCCAGACAATGCTGGACCAGGTGTCCTGAGACTGAGCCACTTGCAAACAGTGTACCCTCGATCACCTTCTGCATGAAGATGATGTCACCACCCTCCTTGGTGTAACTGGAAGGATTAAATGGGGCAAAGCACGTGGTGGGTCCTCAGAGAATCTGAGCTGACAAACCTGGCAGGAGAAATAATGGAAGGCCCTGTATTCATTCACTGAGGTTGTACTTACTGCAGACTGGGTGGCATAAATGGCTAAGATGTGTCATCACATAGTTCTGAAGGTCAGAAGTCCAAGGTCAAGGTATAGGCAGGGCTGGCCCTCTCTGGGGCTGGGAGGGAGAACCCTTCCCAGGTCCCTCTCCTGACCATCTCCTTGGCTGTTTTTATCCTCACTTGGGGTCCTCCTGGGTGCTGCGTCCAAATTTCTCCTTTTCACAAGGGCACCAGTTGGGTAAGTGGCCACCCTAAAGACTTCATCCTTACCCTTTATCTTGTTAAAGGCCCTGCCTCCAAATACGGTCACATCTTGCAGCATTACAGTGCTCTGGGACTTGCACATTGAATTTTGAGGCTCACAGTTCAATCCATAATGGGGCCCTTTAGATTTCATGAAGGGCACGGATCTCTGACCTCACAAAATGGTCTTAGAAATGTAGGGTCTATGAAGCTGGACTTCTGTTCTAAGCAATAGCACTGATAAACAGTTATAAGGAAGAACACTGGTTTTCAGTGACCTGCTCTTGATGAAAGAGATATGTTTGTTGTCCCCCCAGGCCTTGGAGACATGGCAGTCTCTAACACCATAGGAAGCAACGTGTTTGACATCCTAGTGGGACTCGGCATCCCGTGGGGCCTGCAGACCATGGTTATTAACTATGGATCCACGGTAAGTTCTTTTTACCACATAGGGAAATGGGATAGAGGCAGGTTACATAGAATAGCGGGATTTTCCCTGTTCTGGCCCAGGGATTTGGCACCTTGGCACCCTCTTTCTTTGACAGCTACCAGGACAACCTATGGGTGGCCCCAGGAGGGAGGCAGTGTTCACCAAGGGTTGGTCAGTGCCTTCCAGCAGCTGTCCCTCTTCTAGGCCAGGTCCTCAGATGAGCAGAGTCCAAACTGGAACCCACATTGTCCTGATCCCCCCCAGCCAAGCGCTTACCTAAGAACCCCCATATCTTCCTGACGAGGGGATGAGAAAGCTGGAGCATGCTGGGCTTTCAGAGTGGATTGGCCAAGCAGCCCTGAGACTCACAGGCATGTGCTTGATTTTCCAGGTGAAGATCAACAGCCGGGGTCTGGTCTACTCCGTGGTGCTGTTGCTGGGCTCCGTGGCGCTCACCGTGAGTCTTTACTCTCCCAAATTAGAAGCCTCTTGCATGCTGTGTGGCGTCTGACCCTGCCTCATCCCAGGCATGACTCCAGACATTTCCCCATCCCTTGCCCTTGTCAGTGAGGGACACAGCCAAACCCAGTTTTGCCAAGAGCGTCTGCAGGCACCATAGCATTTTTCCCTGCACAGAGAAGATGTCACCAGGGGAAGTGAATTCCCTTTTTTTTCTTCTTGGTGCCTGGCCCAGTGTTTGCTGTCTCAAGTGCTAGTGGGAGAGAAATCTCCCCCTTCCACCTGAGCTGAAAGTGAGGGTATGATGGACCTCAAGACCACCTGACAATCGTCAAGGCCTCCTTCCTCCCTGTGCCTAGGTGGTATTATCATCCCTGTTTCGAAGAAGTAGAGGTTCTGTGCCTTGCCCAAGGTCACAGAGGTGGAAATGTTAGGACTCGCACCCAGGTCAATTTGTCTTTATAGCCCTGTGCCCTGCAGAGGTAACCATGGCTCAGCCCTGGAAGCCTGATTCGGGGACAAGAGGGAGGGAAGTGCAAGGGAGCAGGCCCTTCCCCAAAACCCAAGCTGCAGTTTGCCAGGAGTGGGCTACAGGAGCCTTGGGAAATTTGCTCAGAGAAAAAGACCACAGTGCTCTGAAGCAAAGGGCACGACCATTTCGTCCCTAGAGAAGGCCTGGGACTTGTGAGCCCTGAGGAAGTGGCCTGCTGCCTGGGGAGGGTCAATGCCACGAGAGTAACTTGAGTGTGCCGGGGTCAGTGGGCCTGCATGGAGACTCATCCTGCTGTTGTCAAGTCTAAACGTTCAGGGCTGATTCTGGTCAACCTGAGGATAAGCCTGGCGGGGCCCATTTGCACTTGTTCACACTATGCAGGAAGTTCTAAGGGTGTGGATGCACATGTCCATTTTTAGTCAAAAAGCCCTTGTTGTTTGTTGGCCCCCCAAGCCGAGCTCTTGAACTCTGTCCTCCCAGGTCCTCGGCATCCACTTCAACAAATGGCGACTGGACCGCAAGCTGGGCGTCTATGTGCTTGTCCTCTACGCCGTCTTCCTGTGCTTCTCCATAATGATAGAGTTTAACGTCTTCACCTTCGTTAACCTGCCCATGTGCCGAGATGACAAATAAGCAGAGTCGCCTCCTCGGGAGCTGCCCTGGGCACCCGTGCCACTGGCGACCTCTTCTCTCTCTCCTTCCCCACCACAGGTCTGTCCTGCCTCAGCAGCCACCGTCTGTTCTTTAAGAGCTGGAAGGAAGGGCCGTTGTGGTCTTTGTGTGGTCACAGGCCACCTGCTGGGCACCTGTGCCACCTTGGGTCCTGCCCCACTCGAGGCAGGTTTGGGGGTTCATTTGAGCTGAGCAGCTCCTCGGACCCCTGAGCTGCCAGCCACAGAGATGTATGTCTCATCTCTGTCACGCTGCAGTCAGAGGACCTCTGCGTACAGTTTTCTTTCTGTCACACAGGCAGCCTTGGAATGAGGCAGGCAGTGAGCGTGAGGTCTCCTGGGGCAAATGCAAAATGGGACAGTTGCTCTCAAGTGTCCCCTGTGGGCCACGGGGTGAGTCCCTTAGACAGCACATGCCACCAGCTGGCAGCTCTTGAGGTTTGGAGGAGGCAAGGCATCAGCTCGCTGGGGGTTTGAGACCATGATGGCTGACTTTCCACTCCTTTTTCTGGAAAAAAAAAAAAATGGAAGAATGGAAACTTTTTTTTCCCCAGCAGAAGAGAGAAAAGCAAACAAAATACTCTTATCCTTTTTATTGATGCATTCAGAGAATGATTAATTATTATTAAAAGTAAAATGTCATATAGATCATCATACTTGAAAAATATCATTCCACACAAAAGGATTTTGACGGGAACCAAAAAAGTAGTCCTTGTAAAAAGTGAATCCTGTGTGTATCATCCTCCTTTGGCTCTAAGACTTTTGGTTTGGAATTTAGAAAGAGGTGAAAGACCACCATGGAATCAGGTGCTAACTCAGAGACACAGTAGGGTAAACTGCAGTGTTTACAGCTAGACATCCCAGAACATTCCAGACTTTCTGCGTGATGCAACACACTGTCCCTTCGAGCGTGTTGTTTCTTTGTTATTGCACTGTTTTCAAAGTCACCTTGGAGAGACCCAGTTGTTTATATGCCCAACAAATTTCAGAAGTGATGGTTCATGACAAGGAGAGAGATTTCCTGAAACACAGCAGATTGCTCTCTGGCTAGCTGAAGGCAAGTATGAAAACCATTATCTTAGAGTGTTTAGAGCTAAGTTTCTTGAACCTTATAGTTTGCAACACATAAAAATGGGGGGGTGGGAGTTGATTCAAAAATAGATAGGAAATATGAAATAATGTTAAGCTGCTTCATAGCTCTAAAATATATATATATATTTAAAGATTTATGAACATAAACCATTCTTGGGTTCTAACAAGAAAGCACAAATTAATTTTATATGGAGTGGGTTTTTTTTATTTTTTTAATGTTTCTATTGCAAAAGTCTATCAGATCTGATGCACTTTTAATATTGAGATATTTTGCACAGAAGGAGGTATGGGACTGACCCATAATGATGTGAGAAGAAAGGGTTTTAGTGATTCACCCGAAATTGCTTTAAACTTGGTGATGATGAGTCGAAATCCAGTAGCTAATCCCTTCCTGAGACGCAGGGCTCATGAGCCACTTTGGAATTTATAACTATGCTCTTTAAGGCGTCCTGAGTTTCCAAAGGAGGAAGTGTTCAAGCTTGTGTCTCTTAAGTCCCTGTAAGCATGAACCCCCCCAAGGGACCTCATTCCCACCACCAGGCTTCTCTTCGGGGTTCACATCAGTGTTAGTAGCTACACCAAGTCAAGGCTTTGCTTTTTGTTCCTCTCCCTGGATATTGGGCTCTGCAGCCTTCAGATTGGAGTAAGAGTGATTTTCCTAAGAAATTAGCTGAGCAGGAAAGGAGGGAGCCTGTAGATGCAGCAGTATGAACTGTAGTTTCATAGGGTTTCAGAGCCACCGGGGACCACTGTGTGTGCTAATAGCTTAGGTCACCTGGTACACACACACACACACACACACACACACACACACCTATTTCACAGACTTATGCAGGTTCTGAGTTCTTTCGTTTCCGTTTGGATTTTCCTAGCCACCCTGTGATGTAAGTAGGGATTATTCCAGTTAATAGGTACAAGTTTAATCTTGGTGAGGTCAAGTGGCTCTAGTTACTGGCCAGTAAGTAGCAGAGCTGAGCCAGGCACCAGCCCAGTGCCCTCCTAGCTCAGCCAGGGCACATGGTCAGCCAGTGTGGGGTAGTGGGTGTGGCTGCAGAAGGCTATGCCTTTGCCCTCGTCTGGGTCAAAACTTTATCAAGTATCTAATTGATTCCTGGTTCTCCAGGTCATCTCCGAACATCTGTCCTCCAATGTTCCTATTTTTTCCTGTAAAAGACCAAAACCTCTTTTTAGTTATGGCATGACACAGGCCACATGACCTCTGAAGAATTCCCTACTGGTTTTCAATTCTCTGAAATCCTTGTATAGCTTTCAGAGAACATTTCCCAATTACCCTCATCTTCTGCAGAATCCATTTGAGGTTATAAAGTATACTGCAGTTGCAGTTAGAGGTTTAAGAAATTATATTTTTAATATATAGTATACTCCTCTCGGCTAGTTTCCTTTGGACTTCAATGTGCCAATGTAACTTCCTTAAAGGCTCTATGCATTTATTATAACTAGGAAACTATATGTACACATTAGTCAGAAAATTCTGTTTTTAACTAAATATTTTTCCATCAGAAGTTTAAAGGATTCCTTGATGATTTAGGCCTTCATTTTTTAAAACAATACTTTCACCATTACGCAAGATTACTTCCTTTATTTTATCCCACAGCTACTTAGCTCATTAGCAAGGGTAATTACTTCTGCTACAAAAATAGACAGTTAAAAACTGCCTGTAGCTCAGCTGGAAAATGTCTCTAGAAGCCGGAGCAGGTGGTCCCTGGCTATTTCTGATTGGGAATTTACCTCACCAGCCTGAGCGCAGTGGTGGACGGTGCACAGTCCTGGGAAGCTGGCCTTGGGGATCATTCTGGGTTAGCGGCCCTGACAGACTGAAAGCTAAGGGCACTGTGGGCAGGTCAGCCTTGGCCCCGCCCCAGCCCCATCCTTCCCGGAACTCAGTCTCTCATCTCTGGCCCTGTGCTCGTCCGCCTTGTCTCCTGTGTCTCTGCCTTGTGCACAGACCTGGGCGCCCTGGAGTTTCACCTGCTCGTTACCCCCTCACCTGTGAGGGCAGCCTCTTCCTTTTGCCCAGCTGCCCCCAGCCTTTGCAGACCCGGCACTGAAAAGGCACAGACCTTCCGCAGCCAGGTTGAACCAGGTGAGGTCCATATCCCACCCAAGGGCATCCTGCAGACCTGACCAAAGACCCCCATCCTGGGCTGCCCCATCCTTAGGTGCTGGCTCTTCCTTGGTGGTGAGGCCTCGAAGCCTGATCCTAGCTGCTGCCACACCTCAGAGCACTGGAGCCCCTGCAGGCGGACTCAGAAGGGCACGAGTGCATCCTTGCACTGTACCCGTCTGTCCTCCTGGCCTTCCTCCTCCTTGAATCCTACAGCCCCTCCCTCACCTTAATGTGGGGGGAGGGCCAGGGCAGGAGGGACCAGGAGAGGGTCATTCATTTCCCCTGGGAAAAGCAGGAGAGGAGCCCAGAGCCTGGCTGAGGCCGCTTTCCGCTTCCTTCTCCGGTGTGCAGTGGGCTCATGGGGCTAAGACACTAGTCCAGCGGGGTCCTGTTACACCTTTTGGAGTTTTCCCCCTGGGAGTCAGCGGCTGAGAAGTCTGAGAGCTCCACCCCCACCCCCACCCCCTGAACACCTCCAGGCCAAGCACTTGATCTCTGGGTTTCTTGGTCTCTGCAGCTTGTCGCATGTGCCCCTCAAGAGTGCCATCTCCCGCCAGGCCTTCTTAGGCATGGAGAAAGGGCCCGATCTATTCTTTAGGTGAATCTTCCCTCCCCAGCTGTCACTCATGGGAATGAGAGAGGCCCGACCCACAAGGCAAGAATGAGGGTTCTGTGGCTGCCTGTGTGGGCCTGTGACTTGCAGCAGAGGAAGTCCCCGAAGGGCACACAGCACAGGGTCCAGAGTGTGGCAAGGGAGCTCCAAGGTGGTAGTTGCTTGACAGCTGCACGTCAGGTCTGGTGGCAGAGAGGAGAATGTGTGGCTCATCTCGCTACTGCCCATTGTGAGCAAGTGGGTGCCCCTGTACAATTGAGAGAAGGGGCCTTTCTTCCCCTTCCGCCACCCACAGGAGCTGTCTTTTCAGGGAAGCCAGATGAGTGGTAGAAGAGCTTTGAATGTTTTATTGGGGGGGTGGGGGGAGCGGTTAAAAATCTCAACAGCAAATGGCTTCCAGGTTGCAATTGTCTTTGCTGAATCCTCAGACACTTCCAGGCACACACTGCCAAGGACATGTGCTCTGCTTTGTGTCATGTTTTACCTGTGTGTTTCTAAGACACTTTGTCCACTGCTGTGGTGTCAGTGTCCAGCTGTCCAAGTTGTGTATCTTCCTCTCACTTCTTAGCAGGGGCTAAAAACTTGCTGTCTTATAGACTGAATGCCCTGGCTCAGGACTGGGGGCTGCAGGAAGTATCTGTGAGAGGTGAAAACACACGCTGCCTGTGTGAAGGGCAAGGCCTTGTCTGTGTGGCTGCTCCTTAGTTAAAAGCCCATTGACAAGTACGGGCCCTGCCCACACCTATTCCCACTCTGTTGCCAGAATCCACACAGTTGCTCCTTATGCACCAATGTTGGTTGGGACTTTTCCATTGACAAGGCCAGTGAAACCCTCACTCCTGGAGAAAGCACATAGTCTCTACATCTGGTCACTGGAAAACAGTTTTTTCAGAGAGAGACCGTGCAGGTTTTGGTTTTCTACATGCATGCTTTAGAATAGTCAGGCTTTACATACAAAAGGAGGGTCCCAGACCACAGAGCCCTCCCTCCCATCTCTCCACAATTCCCAACAGAATCACCTTCCAACAGGAAGAGGCCTCTCCTCCTCCTGAAGGTGATCTGGCTGTGAGCAAGGGTGCTCTGTTTCCCCAAGTGTTCCAGTGGATTCTTCTGGCCCCAGGGCATCCTGCCTCGCATGGCATCTTGGCGCCTTTGAGCTGTAGACCCCATGACCCACTCTCCACTTCCCCATGTGGCTCACATGAGGGATATTTGGGGACCCAGCAGTCAGAGCTGTGGCTGAGCCACTGTGGCTGGCTCCTGGGGTCCCTTCGTGCATAAGACTGGGCCTTCAGTTCACAGCACTGACACCCTGGCAGGGTGCCTCTGCCTGTGTCTCCATCCAGCTAGGAGCAGTTGCTGGTGTCTGAACACAAAGAGAGCTTTGATTGCCCAGAGAGGAAAGAGGCTGCTGGCCAGCTGGGGCCAGGCCCAGGGCAGATGCAGGATCGCCAAAGTGAGGGCCAAGCAGGGTGGAGAGGAAGGCTGGCAAGGTTTCCCCAGAGTGTTTGGATCTTATTGGGGCACAGCCGGAACATCCTTATAAACAACCCAAACCCAACTTCTGGGGCTGTCCACACACAGCTTGAGCCCCACACAACATATTTCTGGCATGGTAGGCTGAGTGCCACCATTTTTGTTCATTCTCTTTGACAGGCAGAGCAGGGGCGATGGGTCAGAAAGTTGTAAATAATAAATATATTTATGCCGCTATTTATTTTTTCAATACCTGTGGCCTCTTGCACTGTGAATGCTCTGTGATAATGAGATTCTTAGTTTAATAAAACTGTCATCAAATTTGAATGAATTGATATTACTGGTTCCTAAACACTGGCATGAGTTTACTTTTATTGTGAAGAAAAAAATCTAGAGTAAATATGAACTAAACTTTCCTAAGAAACCTAGCAGTCAGTATTGTAACGCAATATATCAAAAATCTGTACACTGTCAATAAAATAAAGGAGCACAATTCATCTTGCCCCATGTAGAGCTTCCATTCAGATTTTCAGAGACACGTACATATTTGTATTTTTTGAAAGAATTACACTGGAATAACAGCCATTGGAAACCATTTCTATTTGCATATTGAGAAAAAATAAACTTCAAAAAGGATGCGAGGTTGGAGCTTTTGATTATAACGGTTGGAAATGAATAAAGCAAAGAAGAACTTGTATCTGGTGGACTGGCATGAATGGATCCCAAGTATCCCCCTCTCCCACCTTGTCAGCTTCATGGACAGTCACACTGCACCTCACCCCACATCTGAAGGGCCCTAGCTTGGTGTCACTGTCTTGAAAATCTTAATGATTCTTTAAAGAGGATCCTACATTGCACTTTTGACTGGACTCTAAATTATGTAGCTGTCCAGCTCATCAGGAAGAAAGTTTCTGTCACTGGCTCTTGTGTCATGGGAAGTGGAGGGTGGTGGGTAGAGGTTCTGGTTAATTTCTTCCATCTGCAAAATCCTGTGAGTCCCAACTGCCCTGAATGCCACCACAGACTTCAACGTACATGTGACTCATGTGGGCATCCTTTTTTTGGGGGGGGGGACAGGTATTGGGGATTGAACCCAGATCCTTCACACTGAGCTACATTCCCAGCCCCTTTTTATTTTTTATTTTGAGACACTAACGTACTAAGTTGCTAAGTTGCTCAGGCTGGGCTTGAACTTGTGATTCTTCTGCCTCAGTGGCCCAGAGTATTGGGGTGATAGATGCACATTACCATGCTAGCAACATGGGCATCTGACAAATGAGCAACACCCTGTCTCAAAACATAAAAAGGACTGGGGATGTAGTTTGGTGTGATTCAGTCCCCAGAACTGCAAAAATAAGTAAGCAAACAAGTGAATAAATGGTGGATGGAGAGAGAGTTTTCTAAGCAATTCCAAGTCCACCGTAGGTCCTGGTGCAGGTGGTCTGCTGGCTCACTGTTGGAGAAACCTAGTTTTTGTCACTCACCTTTGCTAGCTGGTGTCCAACAGGAAAAACAAAGAGGAGGAGCAAGGAGCGATCAGGAGTGCTTCTGCCATCTCTCTGTTCTCACCAATGGACTCTCTTCTGACCCTCAGCTACACCCTGCCTCTGAGGTCCCACATCCTACTCTCCATCCTGAGTGTGTGTCCAGACCTTCAACACGCTGGGCCCTTGTTCTCTCTGTCAGGATCAGTGCTGTGAGGATTGCCTTCCCCGACAGCCCCTCTCTCTTGGTTCTCCTCCCTGTCTTCCGCTGTCTCCTCTCTGGCTTCTCCTCTACTTTCTCCATAAATGAAAGTCTTTCCCTGCATTCCATCCTGGAGCTCCTTCTACCCAGAGGTTCTTGATCCTGGCTGCCACTGGAGTCCTCCCCAGACATGTGGAACACACAGGTGCCCAGCCCCACCCCACAGAAGAGCCAGCTGTCCTGGACATGAGGACAGTTCACGCTCCTCAGGTGATTCTAATGTGTATCCAACGTTAGGAATGATCCAGCTCAGCACACTGGGCTCACGGTCCTCCCAGATGGAGCTGGGGCTGGCCCCTCTGCTCCTGTCCCCAGGATCAACACTTCTAGCACCAAGGTTCTGAGACTTCCTGGTTCTGATCCACCCCACCCCATATCTAACTTCCTCCTGGGCTCCCCAGCTAGATAACTCCCAAGCCCTCCAAAATCAGCATAAGCAAAATTAAATGAGCAAAAATCTGATTTTTTTTAAATGGGTGAATGTTCTCAATAATTTATTCAAAAATACCCAAAATTAGCTCAAATACCAACAAGGGAATGGAGTGAAAGAGAATAAATTCTAAATCTAAAAAGAAACACTTACATACTTAGAAAACAAACCCTTAATTATTGAACTCTAGGTATTGCAAAAGCATTTAGGGCTAAAGTGTGCTGGAACTTATTTTGCAACTTATTTTGTAATGCATCCAAACATGAATGGGTGGATGGGTGGAGGGATGGATGGATGGGAAGATACAGGACAGCAAGTTTAGGAACATGTTCATGGTAGATGCAGCTGGTGAATGTAAATGTTCACTGCATAACTGTTTCAACTTTTCTATAGTTTGAAAGTTTTCATAGAATTTAGGGGGAAAACTTAAATTCATCCTTCAACCCCAAACCTCCTCCTTCTCCCTGGATGCACTGAGTCAGGAGAATCACTGTTTTCACTGCCAGTTGTCAACTCCTCCCACCACCCCCCGTGTGGGACACAACTATTGATTATGTCTCCCCTTTCTGCTCAGCCACGTCTTCCCCACTGTTAGCGCCCACCTAGTCCCTGCTGTAGGAGTCCCAGCCGGCCCTCCTTCCTCCACTGCACACTCTCCTCCTAATCCATCCCCCACCCAGCAGCCAGTGAGATCTTCAAAGGAGGCTGCTAGATCCTCCCCACTCTCTGGCTCAGCCCCCGCACCTGTGGAGGAGTAGGCAGCAGGCCAGGGAGGTGGGGTGGGAGGCTCTGCACTGCCTTCTCTGGAATTTCTGCCCTGGGAGGCAGCGCGTGTAAGATAAATGCTGCCATGGGGAAGGAAGGCGTTAAAGGGATCTTCCCCCTAAAAGAGCACTTCCTGGCAGAGCCACAGACCTGAGAGTCCAAGGCAGGCAGCACGGCCAGGCCAGCAGAGGGGCTGCTCCCCATGAGCAGGACCCAGGGGACCCTGCAGGGCCTCAACCTCCAATGGGGTTGACATGGGCCTTGCAGTTGGGGCAAGGCCTTGCAGGCCAAGGCTGTGAAGGCCGGCACTGACCCGAGGCTGTCCTGGGAAACCCTTCTGCCTCAGACAGCCTGAAACACCACTGGCTGGGGCCAGGGTCTACTTCACACCCATCGCCTGCAGGGTTTCAGGGGCCCTTACTTAGAGGCCCGTCATGTGCTCTTGTCCCCAACATCTGCCTTGAAATCTGTGCTACTTTTTGAGCAAGAAGTTGTGCGCTTTCATTTTGCACTGGGTCCTGAGAATGTTTAAATAAAAAAAGTATTACTGTAAAAGACTGTGCCTTGAGTTCCCCTCAGAATCCTCCCCCTTACTTCAAACACACTTGGCAATGTGTCTTTCACTGTAACAAATGTTTTTAAAATTTAAATATTAGCTGTACTTTTCAGTCAAGGTCACGCTGCATCAGGGGCTCCTGGAGCAGGAACACCGTGCCTCCCCTTCTGGTTCTCAGCATCACCAAGGCTGCTGTAATGAACAGCAGCTGGACTGAAGCCACGCCGCCTGAAGCCCCACCTCTCCTGGCAGGGCAGCAGGAGGAAGGTACCAAAGAGCCGACAGAAATGGACATCTGTTAGGCTCTTACAAAAATCAGTTAGAGAAACACAGAATTAAAGAAAGTCAATGAAAAGAAACTAACTTTTTTCATGAGCCTCAACTTGCCAGAATTGTTAGCCACCTTCCATAGATTCCCGACTAGCAGCTGTTAGGTGGGTACACACATGTACACCCATCTTCCAGAAGAGGAAACCTGAGCCCCGAGAGGCTAAGTAACTTGCCCAAGGTCACACAGCCAGCAAGAGAGGAGCCCCCCAACACCCAGCTGCCTACCAATCCATAGGCTCTCCCCAGGTGACAACAGAAGCCCAGCTGGCCAAGGGCAGTGTGGGGTCAGATTCCCCACACAGTGACCACCCGTAGCCACCCTGTGATTTCACACAAGTCAGCCCGGTCTTTCTCACAGAGAAGTCCTGAGAACATTCACACTTGATGATCAGAGGAAGTAAATGTCCCCCAAAAGGAGAAGTGAGACAGAAACAAATCACGTCCTTGCCTCCAAGTAGTTAGGGGCCATCTCCTTTGTAAAGCACACTATACATAGACTGGTAAGACAGCCCTGGCCCTTGGGGCAAAAGACAGGCCAGGAAAAGGAGGAGAAGGAGGAGGGAAAGGAAGAGGAGGAGGAGAAGGAGGGGGGGGGTTAGGGTTTAATTTAAAATCTCCCCAAAGTCTTCAGAGGTGGGGCTTCTGGAAGGTAACCGGATCCCTGATGAGTTCATAGCTGATGGTGCCGTCAGGAAGTGGATCCCGTTGGAGGATGTGGGTCACTGGGCCTGAAGTGTGTCTTCTCCCCTTGGTTCTTCCTACTCTTTCTGCTTCTGGCCAGCATGGGTTGAGCTGCTTTCTTCTGCCAGCCTTTCCACCATGGTGTTTCTGCCTTGGAGCCAGCCAACCACGGACTGAGACCTCCAAAGCCATGAGCCAAAACAAACCTTTCTTCCTTTAAATTGTGTATGGCAGGTGTTTGGTCCCAGCAACAAAAAGCTGACTAGTACAGAAGAGGAGGAAGAGGGGAAGGAGAAGGGGGAGAGAGGGGGGAGGAGAAGAGGGAGGGAGGAAAAAGGAGGGGAGGGGGAGAAGGATTAGCAGTCACTCATTCTCCCTTCATCAACAGGGTTCCAACAGATAGAAAGAAAGGAAGGCTCAGGCATGGTGGTACATGCCTATAAGCCTAGCACTCAGGAGCTGAGGAAGGTGGATCACTGCAAGTTCTAGTGAAACCCTGTTAGAGAGAGAGAGAGAGAGAGAGAGAGAGAGAGAGAGAGAGAGAGAGAGAGAGGACATCCCAGCGGGAGGAGCTAGTGTAAGGAAAAGCCTAGAAGCAGGACTCAGGCCAGGGACCCAGCCTCCTTCCCTGCTGCTCTGCCTTTCTCAGCACATAGCTTTTGCTTCAGAGTTCAAAATCACAGACTGCCTAACTTCAACTTGGCTGCAACCTCATAAGTAATTCAGAGCCAGAAGCAATCAGGTAAGCTACTCCCAAGTTCCTAACCCACAAAAGTTGTGTAAGATTTTTAAAATTTGTTGTTATTTAAGGTTGTTGAATTAGCAAGTCATTTGTTATGCCTTAATCCTCAATAGTAACTAATACTGTGTGTAGAGAATTTTTTTGTATTTATTCAGCTATCCTGAGGATCCCCAACCTAGCCATACATGATGAGTCATAGTTAAAGACTGCCCACCTGGAACACAAGTTCTTAGAGAAGGTGGCAGAAATCATATCCACTGTGTCCTTGTCCCTGGAGCCCATTCCTCAACCTTTGGCACACAGTAGGACTACAGCATCCCTGCACACAGTAGGAGCTCTGTTTCCCAGAGCAAAACCCACCTTCCTGGCTTGACTTCAGCCAGACCCACCAGCTGAGACACGATGAGCTGCTAATGCTGAATTGCTGGACTCTAGTCAAAAATCTGGCTTTGTTTCCCAGAGGTCACTGTTTCAAAGTCTCTTTCCATTCTCTCACTCCCAGCACTGCCAAGAGGAAGGAGTGGCAGCCAAGCAAGCAAGAGGCTGTCTGCACCACTGGCCTCTCCTCCGCCCCCTCCTGCACCAGCACCCAGCTGAGTCCTTCAAGGTGCCCTTTAGGGCTACTCCTCCTCTGGCCTTCGATGAGTGGGAGGGAGGGAAGTGACTCCCTCCCACCCCACCTTTATAGCCCTGTTGTCAGAGCCACTTGAATTATGCCTTCAGTTATAACTGATGGCCTTGCGGTTTTTTTGTTATTGGGGGTTTTTTGGTACTGGGGATCGAACCCAGGACCTTGCACTTTTGAGGCAGGTGTGGTTCCACTGAGCTAAATCCTCAGGGTTTTTTTGTTTTTGTTTTTGTTTTTGTTTGTAATAGCAAAATATATAATACCCCATAAAATAGTCACAGAATGTTTTCACTAATTTTCGCCAAACTCTCCTAGCTGTGCCAACCTGTGTTTGCAACTGGGGATGACATGAATATTACACATGAACACATTTTTATTTACACTAAATGATATGAATAAAGAAAAAAAAACCCCATAAGTTAGAACTTCTCTCATTCACCAGTGGCATGGTGACTTTGTTGTGGAATTGGATATTGTACTTAGAAAACTATACTAAGTGTGGTGGTGCACGCCTGTAATCCCAGTACTCAGGTGGCTGAGGTAGAAGTATCCCCATAAGTTTGAGGCCAGTCTGGTCTAAACAGTGAGTTCAAGGCCAGCATGAACTACATAATGAGGCCCTGTCCCAAAAAGAAAAGAAAAATAGCATTGTTTCGAGTTTTCTGATGCTTTTTACAACATAATGGCTACAGAGATGACATACTTTTAAAAACAGCTACTTTAAAATAAAACTGACATGCAATAATTGTAGAAGAATAAGTATACAATCTGGCAAGTCGTGATGTAGGTGGACACTCTCGAAATCATCACCACAATCAAGATACCGAACATACTATCAACCCTGAAGTTTCTCCCCACGTGGTCTCAAGCTTGTGGTCATGTCTCTATGCATGGCAGGCGCAAGTGTTGTCTGCTAATATCAGTCTTCACATTCTTCTTCCTTCCAAAAAGAATCTTAGTTTTGATCAGGTTTCAACTCCTCCCCAAGAAGATTCAGAAGAAAGTCATCCCCAAGCCTAGGGCCAAGCATGACCCTTCACTAACTTAAGCCCATCCATACATGGTCTGGGGTCTCAGACAGCCCAGGCCCCGGCCTGCAGCCTGTGAGGGGCAGCTCCATGTCTGCAGAGGCAGCTGTCAGCATCTACCATGATTCAGACTCATGGGGCTGTGATGTGCATGCCCCAGCACACTGTCAGTGGGACCAGAGAGGAGGGGGCTCCTCGGCCAGAGGCCAGTTCCAGCTCACCCCAGACCCTTGCCCTGGCAGAGGGGCAGGCATTTTTGCTCACCTCTGATCCCAAAGACACAGACTGATTTTGCAGTAATAAAGTCATCCCCTCCTCCCGGCCATTTCTCTAAAGTCATAGGAAATGGAGATATGGGAGCTTGTTGGGAGTCAGAAGATGGAAACATCAGAAAAAGAATGGTTGTCTGCTGATCTACTTTAGCAAAACAAAATATCCCAAATAGCAATCAACTTTATTATAATTTTTACCAGCTTTAGCATAGTTCTATCAGATTTACCAGACTTGTCTGGTGATTCTTCTGTCCAATGAGACACTGACAGGGTTGCTGTGTGGCAGTTAGCTAACAGAAGACCAGCTGGGCTGGAGGGTCTCAGAGGCTTCGTCCCCATATCCAGTGTCTTGATGGATTTGTCCATGGTTCACACCCAGAGGCTGTGGGGTTGGAGCCAGTGACTACCACTCTATAGCTTTGCCATTTTGGCCTAACCTCCCCCCAGCCCAATGGACCTCCATGAGCTGACAAATGGACCACTGTGTCCTTTGCTTCCAGTTGGGTTTGGCAGTTGGGAGCCACTGCAGGAGACTGCAGGGAGGACGGAGAATCTGAGCTCTTGCTTTTCTGGCTGGCTCCCTTGGGGTGGCCACGTGTGCGTGCCCCACTCCTCCCCTGTGGTCTTTCTACAAGACAGGACTGTCTGCTTCTAGGTCTGATAGCCACCCTATTCTTTACCTTCTGAGCTCAAGATGGAAACAAATCTGAGGGTTGTGGCCCTCTCCCTTGTATGTATATATTTCTTAAATCCTTCTCAAATTATTCTATTCAGGAGAGCCATTTATTTGTTCCCTGGAAAACCTGATTGATACACTGAAGGCCTTAGCCATGATATAAATACCAGTTAATGTGTACTGAGCACCCACCATATGCTGGGTCCAAAGCGCCTTTCCTACATTAGCTCTAGTAACATGTGGCAACCCTATGAGGTAGGCACTATTACTACCCCACCTTATGGGAGGAAAATGACCCCGGGAGAGGCAAAGTAAGGGATCTGCTCACTGGCAGCCTGACTCAAGTCAAGCTCTTATCCACGACAGAGCAGGGAAATTTCTGTTGACAGGACATGCTGTTCCCAACTCAGCAAGGTTTGGGGGGTTTGAAAAACAAGACTGTACTGTGAGACTTCTTTCTTCACTAACAGCCCCTAAAAACTTCAAGGAGGCTCAGAGTTGGCCTTCCTCAGGACAACCTCCCCCTGAAAAAATCCAGATTCCTTCCCAGGACCCAGCATCTTGCTCTCACCTCTGACGAGAGAGGAGTGTGTGAAGGGCTTAGCAAACAACAGAAGGTGTTGGGTGAGGCTGCCACCATGCATAATCTGAAATCTCCTGAGGACCACTAACAGAAGCTTGCCTCAGATGAGTTTGCACTTTTTTGTTTTGGTTTGTTTGCTTTTTGGCACAAGGTCTTGCTATGTAGTGCAGGCTGGCTTCGAACTCGCAGCAATCCTCTTGCCTCAGCATCCCAAGTGTTGGGATTACAAGCATGCACCACCTTTCCTGACTGAGTTTGCATTTTTAAGAAAGGAAAAGTAAATAAAAAGAACTGTTATTGGCTCTTTTAATCGACGGCCAACAGTACAGCTCTCTTTAAGGACGCCAAAATCCAAGCCTCAAAGAATGTCCCTAGGGCAGAATCTCTGTCCACTTGCTTTCCTCTATCATGGCTTCATTCTGAGTAGAAGTGTACTATGTGGTGGCCCAGCATGGCCCCCAGTTTGTAATCTCTCAGTTTAAGGCTAGCTTGGGGTCTAAGGGAGACTGAGGTATTCCCTGATAGTGCCAGCCAGTCTCAGGGAGGGATCTGATTGGTCCAGGAGAGTCATGTGCTCATTCATGAACCAATCACTGTACTGGTGAATGCTGGGCTCTGATTGGCCGACCTTATGTCTGGTCAGGGTTCACCAGAGGCCTCAGTTAATAACAGCAGCTGCTCAGATTTCTGAAATCCTGGCAGCCTCCTCTTTGGTCAGCTGTCAGCAACAGGATCACCATGGGTCCTCATCTGGTGTCCACATGAGGAATTCTGGCTTCTCAGAACAGGTGAGCAGTAGGACTTTCAGGAGGACTCCGTGGGGCTGGTCCCATGGAACCCAGGCTCTGAGAGGCCTTTCCTGTTTCTCAGCAGCAACTCAAGGAGCTGAAGGAAGCCTTTTCTGGGTGAGAACTGATAGCATGGCATTCCTCTTGCCTAGGACAGTCTAGAAGGGGCTGAAGAACAGTTCCAGGCACAGTAGTTGGATGGACCACTGCCTGGGTCAGGGAGCCAGTGGTTTGTGGGCTTGTCTTAGGAGCAAGAAGTAATCATGGGGTGGGGGTTATGCTTTCTTGGCCACCTCACTCGTCTTCATCAGATGAGCAAGCGAGGCTCCGGGAAGGGTCTTGCCCAAGCCCACTCAGCTAGAAGGCCTTGGAGTTGAATTCGAACCTGTTGGTCTGTCCTCAGTGCCCACTTTTCAAACAGGAAGCCAGAGCCCTGTTAAGGGAAATGGTGGAAGAGATGCATTCGCCTTGGAGGAGAGAAGTCAGTAGGGCCTGGTCATGAACCTAGCAAGCGAGGCCTGTAGGAATCTGAGTTACGGGGGGGAAGTGATATGGGCTGCAGCAGTCAGGGTGGCCTCCTGGGGGCCATACTTTTTGTGTTTTTTCTTTTAAAAAAATGGCTTTATTGGGATACAATTCACATGCCATACAATTCACCCACTTAAAGTGTGTAATTCAGTGGTTTTTAGTATAGCCACAAAGTTGAGCAATGATCACCACAATCAATTTTAGAAGACTTTCATCACCCCCAAAAGAAACCCTGTAACTATGACCAGGCATTCCCTACTCTCTCTTTTCCGTGTTTCTGGCAGCCACCAACTCACTTTCTGCCTCAGTGAATCTGCCTGTCCTGAACATTTCATATAAATGGAATGAGGCTCTTCGTGACTGGTGCCTTTGACTTAGCCTGCTTTCAAGGTCCATTCATGTTACAGCAAGCATGTCTCTGGGGCTTCATTCCTTTTCCTGGCTGAATAACCATCCATGCCACATTGTGTTTATCCCCTATCAGCTCAGGGACACTGGGCTGCTTCCCACTTGATCATCATGAGTAAGGCTGATAGGAACAGTCATGTGCGAGCTTTGTATGGCAGTGTTTTCGCTTCTCTTGGGTATATTCCTAGGAGTGGAATTGCTGCCTCATTGGGTAACCATGTCGAACTGTTGAGGACCTCCCACCAGTCCCCAGTCCCCAGAGCGGTTGCACATTTCACCTTCCCACCAGGAGGCGGTACTTTTAATGTATCCTCAGATGCAGATTCTTTCCCCTCTAACTTGTGAAGGCTGAACTGAGGGAACGTCCAGGAAAGTAGGGGACATGGGGGTGAGGAGAGCGGCCTGGCCGAGGTGTGGAGGGCAGAGGGCCTGGCGGCACACTCACCAGAGCACTGGGCTTTGGTCCTGTCTGCCTCTGCCTGCTGTGTGACCTAGGGGAACTCATTGCCTCTCTCTAGGCCTCAGTCTCCTCGTCTGTGAAATGAAGGTGTTAGACTAGTGGGCACAACCCAGGTGATTTTGCCCCCAGGGACGTGTGGCAATGTCTGTCACATCGGGGGGGGGGCGCAAGGATGGTTGAGCACCCTACAATGCACAGTGCAGCCTCGAGAACAGCACTGTCTGGCCCCAACGATTCCTACTGTCCAGGCTGAGAAATCCAGCGTTAGGCAGAGGTGGCCTCCTAGGGTTCAGTGCCCCCCCCCCATCCCTTTGCAAAATGGCTCAGAGGGCACTGCTGAGTGCCTGGGTACCTAGAGGAGAAGCCTCCTGAGCTGCCCGGGGTTGCTGCGGATGCTGCAGCTGTGTGACCTCGCTGGCTCTCACCCGCTGCTCCCACTAGGTGCGGTATCCAGCACAGGTGAGTTCCACTCCAGGCTTGATGGAGGGACAAACAGCCTTGTTAGGTGGTGAGGTCATCGTCAGTGGAGGCATCCAAGAGGAGGTGGAGTCGTCACCTGTCCGAGAGGTGACCCTGTCATTGTCAGAGACTGGCTCCCTGGGGCGGGGGCAGGCCCCGGCTTCCTGCCCGACCCAGAACACCCCTGGAGCTCCGGGCATCCCCACCTGCCTCCCGCGGTCCGGCAGGAGACTTTTCTCTAGGTTCCCTCTCCAGAGCCCCCGCCCGCGGAGACGGCACCCTAGGTCGCGAGCCCGGGCCCAGGGAAGAGGGGGCGGGGGGGGGGGGGGGGCGGGGGCCCCCAGTGCTGCCGGGGTGGGGGCTTCCGTGTGCCCCAGGCAGCTCCGGGCCACGAGCCGCCCCCGAATGGCTCTTGACGAAAAAACCCTTGACCACCAAGGCCGGCCTCTTCCTGAAAGCCCCGCTCTCCGCGATACAGGAAGTGGCAGGGAGCGAGCGCCCGGCGCGCGGCGGCGGCCCCACTCGGCGCGGGGCTGGCTACGGCGCCAGCCCGGGCCCCTCCCCAGGGCCAGCTGTGCGCCCTGCGGGCTCCCGGGGCGCCGCCGTCCGCGCCGCGCGCCTGAGACCCGCGGAGCAGCGAGCCCGAGCCGTCGGCGGGATGATCCGACGGGCAGGGGCGCCCGCGCGCGGGGACCCGGCGGGGTAAGTCTTCCCCGGAGCCCCGGGAGGGTCCCCGGCTTCTGGACCTCGCGGCGGCGGGGGGGTGGGGGGTGGGGGGGTCAGGCTGAATGCAACCCCCAGCCCGGCCGCAGCCGAGGCTGGACCCGAGCTCTGCGGGGGCGGGGCGGCCCTGGGGACTCTGCAGCGACCTAAGACTTTAAAGAGAAACTTCTAAGCCTGACTTTGCCCCTTGGAGAACCAGCGTACACTTTCCGCGGCTAGGCGGTGGGGTTTTGAGGGAGAGCGGCTACCTGTCGGAGCCGGGGTGCCCCTGTAGACGCGGCTCCCTCCTCTGGCTCCTTCCTGGCTTGAACCTGGGATGCGAGCACTCGGGGTCCCGGACCCGCCGACCCGCAGCACCGCGCTCATCCTAGGCTTGGCCGGGGTGGGGTGGGGAACCCGAGGTTGCATCAACTTCAAGGCGTCCCGGACCTGACAGCTGACCCTCTTCGCTGGACGAGGGCCCATCTGGGTCCCTTCCCCCATTCCACTGGCCTGGCCACGGACAGTGACCTTTGGACTGGCCTTTGCGGAACCTGGTGCTCCGAGGGGCTGGAGGGTGCCCGGGTGCTTGTGATGGGGGCGGGGCGGGGGGGGGCGCAGCTTGGAGAGCGTGAGGCTGAACGATGTGGAAGCCAGCTTCCAAAAGGGACTCCTAGTGTTGTTTCCTGACCCTCCTCGTCCCTCCATTGCTCTGCGTTGCGCCCTGAGAAGGTCCCTGCCTAGCCTAGCGGGGTCCCTGGAGCTTTTAGGTTTGAGAGGTTTGAGGAGGCGTGGGCTTCCAGGCGCATTCCTGGGAGAGCCTGTGGGAACCTTTCTGGGAGCCTTGGCTTTCAGCCTTTCGGTTTAAAAGTCCCGGGTCTGTTTCAGGATGGACAGCCTGTCGCTGCCCGGCCTAGCTCTGTGACCTGGTCTCAGCCCTGTAAACGGGAGAGTTGGGCTGATCCTTTGGCAGATGTTGTGCAGCCCCCAGACTGCAATGGGGCACTGGGAGTGGCTTGGAGGGGTCCTTACGGCCATGTGGACACCTCTCTCCACCCTCCCTAACTTCCTAGTGCAGCCTCAGCTGGAAACGCTGGAGCCTGGATGCTTTTCCTTGGAACTGATCTCTGCAAAGACAAATGCCATCCAGTGGAAGGAACTGGGAATCCCCATGAGGAGGGTACCCCCAGAAGCAGGTATCTGCTACATGGCAGATGGCAGGCTGGAGCCGGCGAGGAGGGGCCATCAGGAAGGAAGGGAAGATGAACATCCTGACCTCACCAGCTTCCCATTTTTCCCAGGGATGACCCAGCCTGACCCACACATCCGCTTGCCTTCCTTTGTTCATTACTGTTATTTAATCTCTCTGCACCTTAGTTTACTGATCTATAAAAATGAGGCTCAATAATAGTAACTCCTTACAAGTCGTATTAAGGATTCAATTTGTAGAAAGAATTAAGCGTATTGCCCTGAGGAAACATTATAACCATTGTCATCTTTTGTTGGGCGTGACCCGTCCCTTTGTCAACCATGTAACAGGCAAGTGAGCTGGCCCGCCTCATCTGGAGACTGGGGGCTGAAAATAACACCTCCTTCATGGGATTGTTATGTGGGCTGGATGAGTCATAGGTAGCTGTCCCCAGCATCGCAGGGTTAATGACCGTATTGGGCCTGCTTGGAAGAGCGCCTGCTACATCCTAAGTGCACTGAGTCTTGGTGCGTTGCTAAAACACTGCACTGCTTTAGAGCACCTTTTGGTTTGGAAAGGTTCCTAGTGAGCATCTCTTACTCCTGTGGTGCACACCCAAGGTGTTGCAGTGCTCGGAGACAGAGGAGAAAGAATCAAAAGGTCTTCCTCCCTCCCCATGCCCCTAAGCACCCCTAGGCCCTGCAGAACACTTGGGCCTGGGTCCAGCGTGCTAGTCAGAGTGTGTTCATTACCCTAAGGTTCCAGAGCCCCTCCTTTTGTCTTGCAGCTCAGACAGCTAGGGAGCGCCTCCCACTGCCCCTCCAAGGGCCAGCATGGTGTCACTGGATTGCTGGCCCTGGAGTAGGCGGCTGAGGGTCTTTGTAGCCAACTCTACCTGTTGGCTGGGGAGAGAGAAATGCAGACAGGTTGCCTGGTATTCTGGGGACAGGTACTTTTTCTCCCTCTCCTCAGGACTGTGCATTCATCAACAAATAGCCTGCACTTCGGGGCAAAGAGCCCAACATTAAAGCAAGACCCTGCCTACTTGCAGCAGATCCACCCCTGAGAAGAGATGGAGGTCAGGGTAGGAGGTGTCCGAAGCCCAGAGAGTCTTTGGACAGGTGGTCCAAGGAGGTCCCTGTGCGGAAAGGGCATTTATCAGAGGCCTGAGGATGTGGGGGAGCCAAAGCAAGGGAGGCTTTGTGGTTGGCTGTGGGAGTAGCAAGGCCAGGGAGATGGGACAGAAGACCGCGGGGCCTCTAGGGCTGGAAGGACTTTGGTAGCTGCACAGAGCTGGCCAGGCCTACCCACAGGAGGGACTTGCATTTGCACAGAGGACTGACAGATAGTGGTGAACAGAGACAGAAGCAGAGAGGAGGGGAGCCCCTGTGGTGGCCAGAAGTGGCCAGGATCGGGCAGGCAGTGAAGGCCGGAGATGGTAGAGCTACAATCTGCTGACAGACTGGAGGTGAATTGGAGAGAAAGCGGTGCGGGGGAGGTGACTCCAGTGAGGCCGAGACTGCCCAGGGGCCAGCGCTTCAGGGGACAGGTGCCAAACTGCGGAGGAGTCACCTGAGTGCTCCTTTTCTTAGTGTCCACTTGAGCTGTAGCTTCCAGGTTCGGGGGACCTGGCAGGCACCCCATGCTGCCGACCACGTGAGCAGACCCATTGCATTTTCATAGGTTTGCTGTACCGAGGATTTGCTTATGATTTCATGTGAAAGAGAATTTCACTCTTGGAATAATTTAACAGGAGGAATTAGAGACCCAGAAAAGAGAAGTATGGACCTCAAGTCTTCTTAGCTTGGGAGTCTTGCCAGAGCCTTTAAGAGGAACCCCTCAACCACTCACTCTAGGCTCTAGGCCAGGAGCTGGGGGCCTCTTCCAAGGATGGATTCAGGACCCAGGTTTGCAGCTGCAGCTCTACCCCCGACCTGGGCTCCCTTGCTTTCAGGGGTTGATCCTCCCAGGTGGTCCTGGCTGGCACTCAGCCTGGAGACCCAGCCTCCCTGTCCCCAACAGAAACTCTGGGCTTCTCATGCTAGTGCAAGCTTGTGCTCCCAGGCCTCAAGAAATCCCATTGCCTTCCCTGAGAGGCAGCTGGGAGTGGAGGGGGCTGGAGGAGTCTCAGCGCGGGCAGAGTCCTGACGAATAGGTGACAATCATAGCTCTTTCCCTCTGACACTTTCCACCATTCCCCCTGTCACAGTGAGTGAATCATCTCCTCAGTTTGTGTCACCTAGACAGTGACACACAAGCAGAACTAGGCAGGCAGCCATGAGGAGGGGGCCGGAGCTGCCTGCAAGACGCACCCCCCCTGGGGTCCTCGGCACTCTAGGAACTTAGAAGGAATGTCTGTCCCTAGAAGGAGCCCTTTAACTTCCTGTCTACCCCTCACTAGCAGCCCCCCATTTTAGGAGGTTGCTCTTAGAAGGGAGTTATTTAGCACTGATCCGAAGACCAATTCGAGAACTTTCAATCGATGTTAACTATTGCCCTGCACCTGCTGTTTATACTGAGAGCCAGGAAGTTGCACTTGTTCCTGCCCAAGAGTGCAGCTAAAGATGAAAAGCACAACATTAATGAATTTTCTAGTGTTGATCCACCCTCACCACCCTCGAAGGAGCCCTCTTGGTGACACGGTTCTTCTGATAGAGACAGGGGTGGGTCCCTCAGCCCTGGACGCTTAGGAGAAGAGACAGAGGTCTTCCTCTCAGGACGTGTGTCCCCGCACCCCCTGGTCACCCCAAGCTGCATGCTGTCCTGTTAAGGGCTCTGAGGAAGCCCTGTCATTGTGCCCCTGCCCAGCCTGAAGAGACCACACACAGCTTCCCCTCTGCTGTCCTCCCCACTCGCAGAACTGTCCTGGATCCAGCCCTCTGCCCACAGACTTTCTGTTGGCCTGTGCTCCATTGCACCCCCTTTTCTGGGGGAGAAGAGAAGGGGAGGAACTGGGGATGGAACTCAGGGCCTCACATGCACTGGGAAACTGCTGACCACTGAGCTACACCCCAGCCTTTTAGGTTTTTATTTTGAGACAGGTTCTTGACAAATTGCCCCTGCTGGCCTTGAACTTATGATGCTCCTGCATTAGTCTCCCCAGTAGCTGGGACTGTAGGTGTGCAACACTGAGCCCCTAAAACCCAGCTCCTGCAAGAAGACAGCGTCCCCACTTCCACTCAGAGGGATTCCTCTTTTCTGCATGAATCAGTTTTTTCCCTAGCAACTTTAGAGGAAGCAAAACCCCTTTAATATCAGTCTTTCTATTTGGAGTATAAACTTCCCCCGAGAGGAGTCAGGTCTTTCATTTTCACATCCTCGGGTCCTGCACATAGTTGGCACCCAACAAATGCTTGAGGACTGCGATACTGAATGGGATTCTGAAACTCCCCGAGCAGACTTCTATGTGCCTGAGGCGCCTGAACTCCTGGGAGTTTACACGGTGGGGTGGGCCAGGCCAGGACTGGGTTGCGGAGCCCGACTCCCCTCTCCATCAGGTGGTGACCCCCCTAAGGCCAGCACCCTGCCCCGAGTGTGAATGGAGAACCTCAGCCTTCTGTCCCCCAGTGGAATCCCTCCCAGCTGTGCCCTCTGTGCTTCTCAGCAAGAAAGGCTGGGAGGAGAAGCAGCTGTCGGAATTGGGACTGGAAATTGTCCTCAGCAGAGGAAGGGATATTAGCTAGATGTGCAGATTCTGGAGACCTCTGGCTGGCTGGATCAGCAGGCCTCAGATGCAGGGTTCTGGATCCCTAAGAACTAGGAATCTAAGAGTACTATGCTGGGGGGGGGGGGGGTGCGCGCGCGCGCGTGTGAGACCTAACTATCCTTTCCTGGGGAGAGCTGTCCTCTCCTGATTTGGAAGATGCTTAGGGACCTGTGTGTAGTAGCACAGCAGCAGGGCTGGAGGATTCTCTGGGCTCCTTCTGGTGTTTGGGATTCTCTGTCCAGGAAGAAAGTAGTCCCTGCTGTCTCAGCTCAGTGTCCCCCTGTCAGAAGGGAGCTTGGGGCCTGACCTTTGGTGACCCTCTGAATTCCTCGCCCACAGGCAGCAGGAGTGGGATCCTAGGGTGGTGTCGGGATTGAAGCACCAGCTGCAGACAAGGCCCCCTTCTTGCTGATGTCTGAGTGGACAAAGCCTGTGCAGAACACATGAGTGCATTTCTCCAAGAAATGGAGGCCCAGATAGGAGCCCTCTGGGTCACCACCTGACCCGGCACCTGGGAGGAAGAGCTTTTTCACTGCAGTGGGTTTATTTTGGGAAAAAAAAAGAAAAAAAAGGCCACCTTTTGAAAAAAAAAGAACCCTTGGTTTGGGGGGCC